TGATGTTGAATTCTAGTAGAAAAGATACTCTTAGGACAATACAGAAAGTGAAATGTAAGAAAGTATAAATCAAGTTTCATAGGTATGAGACAAGAGATTCCTTCCATATCAAGAGTGGGAAAGGCTTTCTGTTGGCTCTATTATCTGAACTGGCTCTTGCAGGAAGAGAAAGATGTGGAGTCAAGGAGATAACAAAATGAAATATTCCTAGAGTGGAAGCAGCATGGGTACTTCCACAAATAACATGGAAGCCATCTTCATGACATCAGTATGCACAGGCAAACCACTGCCAGGACGAGTTTCACGCTAGTTATTGAGCCCAATTTCTTCACTGTTAAAAGTTTTCCTCATCTTCATGCTTCAACTTAATTTATAGGCCTAAAATTGTGTTATGAGTGCTAAAAAAAAATACCAGCCTCCCTTTTCAAGTTTCTTTAAAAGGCATAAAACTGTTCTTCAAAGGTGCATATAGATCTATTTCTGATCTTGTTAAGATGCAAGAATTAAAAGTGTAGGCAGTGTACTGCTAGGAAAATGAATCTGAAAAAAGTCAATTTGCGTGAATAAGGAAGCTTGGATTTTTAGGCTTAACTTCTGTATTTTATCACTTGGCATTACTTGGAAGCTGAGCATGGTCTTGATTTTAGTGAATTTCCTTTGTGCTGCCGAGGCCGCGCACGGTGCTGGGCAGGCTGAAGCTCTTGTTTGGCCCCCACAAAACTCGGTTTCCGTACTTACTGTTTACCTGGGGGCGCTGGCTCCTCGTCACAGGACAGCGTGGCCGCTCTCCTGCCTCCCTAACGCCTGCCGTCTCCTCCGCTGCTAGAACCGCCCTACTGAACACCAATGCGACATGCTGCTCTCCACTTAAAACCCGTCCTGCTCACTCACGGCCGAGACCTTGCAGGCGCCCAGCGCAGGCACAGAGCAGACACGCTAGCTGGGCAGGAAAGGGCTGTGCTGAGAGCCCCGGGTTCTAGCATTTTCCAACTGTATCGTGTACGTGTGTTCACAAGTCTGAGGTAGTAAACAGGCCTCTTGAGAGCAGAGACAATGAATCATTAATACTAGTATCATTGGAGCCAAGCCAAGAGTGAAAAAGAACTGTTTAGCGAACACGGGGGAGATGACCTCATGGAGCACGCACATAGCACACGCTCAGGGAAATCGTGGGAAGCCGGATCATTTACAGAGATTACGAATACTCAGCAGAGGTGCAAACCTGAGTTAGTAACGACCACTGGGCAGGGTTAGGCGGCCCCCAGCACGCAGTATGAATGGAGAAAAAAGGCCACTTGTCCTCAAGCTTGGGGTGCAGGGAGCAGGCTATAAGGAAGCTAGAGAACCGGGGTCACGACGGTGGTGTCTGGCTGCTCCGACTAAAGCGAGAGTAGCCCAAGAACCGAGCCACGGGGTCCTGCACGTAACGTCAGCCCTCTGCGTCCCCTTCACACTGCTCGCACTTCACCCAGGGGCGGCTGCTGCTAGTCCGAAGACGATCTCGGTTTGTAGCAAATAAATACTATGAACGAGATTCCAATTCAGATTTCAAGTAACTGAACAATGGAAACATTTTATGCTGCCAGGTGAAGTAAATGCAAGTCAAACATCTGAAGAAGAAACGGAACGTACCCTGAGGGCAGAGTCTCTGAGCCGGTCCCCGAGTGCTGCCTCCTGGGCTCCAGGCCCCCTCCCGGCTGCCGGGACTTGGGGGCTTCCAGGGCAGGGCTGTCTGCAGAGCCAGGCGGGGCGGGGTCCACGGTGCTCCCGGCTCCAGCCCCTCGGGCCGCACTGTCCGAGGGGGCGCACCCGCTCTGTCCTGAGGCGGCCGGCACTTCTGGCACTGGGGGGTCCCCAGCTGGGGCGCTCGCATCTTCAGAGACCTCCGCAGTCCCCGAGGCAGAAGCACTGTCGGTGGCTGCAGGAGAGGACAGCTCTCGATTAACTGAAAAGGGAACATTACTGAGCCATCTGACAAGGAATGACAGGGCAACCAATTACCGCGCACACGGGCCGTTCTCGCGGAGCAACGGCCCGGTACTGACGCGAATGAGACAGCGCGTATTGCGTCGCTCCCGTTTCAGAGAGGAACGTAGGAATAATAAAAATTTAATCACACACACACACACACACACACACACACACAAAACCTTAATTTAAGGAAAGAGAAACCAACATTAGAATAACAAATGTTTTTCCTCCAAATTACCAATTCTGAAAGTCTGCATGGGTTAGGAAAAAACTTTCAAATGATCCCTTTCGATTTCCCTTTCTGCGTGCAAATTGTAGCTAATGTCAAAAGAACTCTTTTGCTAACAGTGGGAAACATACAGTGGCATGAATTCTCAGGACAGTGTACCACAGGGGACCGCAGAACGGTCCAGGAGCTATTTCCAAACTTGCCGGAGAAATAACCTGATGCTGGGATCCCGTGATCCAGTTTTCTTAATTCGTTTTAAATGTGACTGATCCATTTCAACTATAGATCACCATAAAAGTGAGTCGAATTAAAACTGGAAAGAAAGCAGATGACTGAATAAAACCTGTCGGAAGATCCAATACCAAGCCTGTAACTGAAATGGGGCGAGAGCCGTAGACAAGGGCGATGGAACACTGTTCGAGAAAGAAACGTAAACGGCAGAAGCGACAGGAGAGTCTATTACAGGAGCAGAACCGGTCAAGCTCTGTCCCGAATGTGGGGGAGAGAATGGCTTTGTGGAAACAAATCAATAACGAAGCACGAGAAATAAAACGTTCACAGAGTTCCACGGTGCCCGGCGCTGCCGGATGAGATGGAAGAGAGAGGGTGGCTCGGGGACGACATTCGGGCGTCTTCTGTCTTGTTTAATTTTTACCCTTCGACCGTGTACAAAAGAAAAGACCAGCAGTCGTCTCCTCAAAGCGAAATCGCACTGGATGGGAAAAGAGGGATTTCTGAGAAAAGAAATTCCAGCCCAGCGAGAACCAGTCACAAACCTGCGCGCGTCCTGCAACACAGACACGAAACGCGAACGGTCAGAAACAGGGAGAAATTAAACATGAAATCGCACATGCCGTTGCTGGAGGCAAAACTCGGCGCTTCAGCAGCAGGTGCTCTCAGGGCGCTCGCCCACACACGGCCCGCCCACTAGCACGACGTGGGGGGCCCGACGTGGGGCGCCCACCGGCTCTCGCTCGCACTAGCGCAGCAGCCCGACTGTGCTGCGTCCTCTCTCAGCCACAACGCGTTCCCCAAGCAGCAGCCGAAGTCTTCTAAAGCACACAACGGGGCTCCTACGCCCCTATTCAACAGGCCAGTGGGGTCCCTTTACGATCAGCAAAAATCCCAGACCCTTCGCCACGGTCCGCACCGAGGACGGTGGCCAGTGGGCCACAGCCACACCCGACTCCTCATATGGCCTTCCCGCCCCTGCCCGAGGGGGGCGCGAGCCATCCCTGGGGCCTCAGGACTAGCTGCCCGCATCGCACAGTCCTTACGTCACCCCTCGTCATCCTTCTGGAAGGCGGCCTCGAGCATCTCATTTAAGGCTGCTCCTGAGCTACGCCCACCTCGGGCTACATCACATTGTGCTGTTTTGTTTCTCGTGCTGTGAAATCATTTTTTTTCTTTTTCATTAAGTTCAGAGTACAAAAACATATTTTTCTTAAATACTTACTGTTGTCCCAGGACTATGGAAAGCGTTTTAAATGACCGCACTCAACCTCTGAAACAATCCTGTAAGGTAGTTACCCTCTTTTCATAAATGAAGGTGCTGAATTTTGAGGGCGGTAAATCTGTCCAAGGTCACACAGGTACTGTGTTACCAGGTGGGGCTGGGGTTTAACCCTGATCCTGTTAGAAGCCGAATCTAATCTTTCACCACATGGCTGCCTATCATTTTAGCGTAAAATCATGACCAATATTCACAGCGACAAAACTTATCAAATCAAAAGTTAACAGGAGGGGCCCTCACGTACAACACCTTCTCTGGTGGAGTCCTGTCTTAGGCTCCTCAGCACAGGCGAGGTCCCTGACACAGAGGGCCAAGTGTGCTCCAGAATTCGCTGCCTTTCTGGAATTCAGAAAGGTAACACGCACTGCATGCACATCACACTAACACCCGAGCAGGTCGGAGGCAAACGCCGTTAGTAAACATGGTAACATTTCTGCTGCAAAAGTTAGGAATCCTCACGCTAAGATGATAAACTCAAACACCCTCAAACCAGTTCTAGTTAGTCTGCCATTAAATGAACTTAAAAAGAAAACTTTTGGCTTTAAAGATTTTAGGACTTTGGAATTGCAAGTAAGGGATGAAAGACATGCCATGTGTTATGCCCAGAATATGCACAGTCCCACTCCAACGATGAAAACTAATTTTTTAAAGTCCTTAATTCAAAGAAGGAATACCATTCTTACACTAACACCTTCAAAGAGGCTATCCCATTCCTTGAAAATACACCTGAATTCATCGTTCCACTAAGGGATGACAAAAGACAATGGTGAGGTGGTCGCTACCAGCAGAGGTTCTGGAAGCCTCTCTGTAAGCTGGCCGACGGACTGACAAGAGCTGGACTGTTTTGTCAGGTGTCACAACAATAACGGGAAATGAAGACACAACACGAATCGGGCGGGAGGAATAAGATCTGAGGCCCATTGCGGTGTACGAGGGACCGCACGACTCCGAGAAACCGGGAAAACCACACTCAGATAACGGGACGGAGCAAGAGCCGGAGTCGGTCACAGCGCCCCTCCTTCCCAGCTGTGGCACAAGAGTTCACTGGGTGAGTGGACAGGTGGTGTCAGGACACGCACAGGCCAACGCTAGCTGTCATCACAGCTGTCATCGCTATCCGGACTGCCTCAGGTTTCCCCGCAGTCATTGCGAACGCCATGGGATCACGTATAACGGAGCGGCCTTTGTCTCTAGTTCCTCGGATGTGTGTTCTGTTTCCACCTTGACATTTCAGGCGAGAATAAGAACGTGGGGAGTGAATTTATTCCCACCAGACAGGGTCTCTAACGTGTCTGACGGGCTGCAGAGTAAATGAGACCCCACGGTGAGGGGAGCCGCAGCGAGGCCTTCCCCGTGCCCCGACATCTGACCGCGCCCGACGCTGAGACACACAGCTCCCTGGTGTCACTGAGCGCCCGCGGCGGTCCACGCCAACAGCGGACTGTTTCAGAAGGAAGAGCCAAGTCTCCAAATCCCACATCCTTCACATGGAGGGTGATGGCAAGAACAAAAGTGGGTGACGGCGCGAGCCTTTCTAACAACATCTCACATCTCATCTCACGAATCAGGAGCGGAACTAACGAATAACTCACTGGCCCTGCCACCTGACGGCCTCCCACCGAGCCTGTGGTGGTCCCACGGGACAAATCGACACGCTCGTTAGTCACATAAGGTATCATTTTTATTTTTTTACATCCTCTTTGGAAGGTTTGCAAGGAAGCTACGTTATTTAAAATAGAATTTTTTAATGGGTGGATTACTAGGTTTTTTCCCATCATGTTTTTTTGTTATGGGTATTTGACAACTCAAAACTCCCTCCAGCCAAAAAGCGCTAGACTCATGCTTTAATTGTGACAAACTCTGGTACTCTGATACACCGTTCTTCTGTGTTGATATTTTTTAAAAATGAAATTTTGGTCTTTCCTATAGGTACTTCCTCAGGTTATTTTTTAAAGTTTAAAATCTAACTTAGGATGGACACTCATTATTGCACTCCCTCTTGTGATTGTTGAGGGCGCTGCTCACATGTGGTGTCTCTTCGCACAGACAGCGGCTGCTTTACTGATCAAATCTTAGAGACAGTTCTGAAAAATCTAAGATGTTTCCTTTTCTGCTTTGCTAATAGAAATCTTAGACAAATATTCTTACTAGAAAGTTGGCCAGAATCAGAAAATAAATGCATCTGCTCATTCATTTTACCCTAAAAAGTTCTATCTATTCTGGTACTCAGCATCTTTAAAATCATATATTTTTTTAAAAGGAACAGCATTAACTAAACCAATTAAATTTTTTTTTTTAATTTCATGTTAGTTCCCATGTTTATGAAAACTCTCAGCGTAACACATGGAAGGTGTCCCCCCAACTTTAAGTGTAAAGACACAACTGTCTCATCTATAAACCCACCTATTTTCACTTAACCACTGAATTACAGCCCTACATGTTTCCATTTTTGAATACTTTTCCATAGATGGATAAACCCAGGAAAGAACAGAGGCTCTGGACTCAAGAGATCAAGACCCCAGGTCCGGCCCCAGCGCACATGTTAGTCATCCTAAGCAAGTCCTCAACGTCTGCGTTACAAGAGGTTCATCTGAAAGCGTTAACGTACAGAGATCAAACAAAAAAGCTCATGAGATTTACCGCTGAACCCCCTGAAAAACAGAAGCGCGGAGGGAATTTTCCTGAGGCATTCCCCGCCAGCGGAATGGCACTTGCTCCGGGAAAACAAAACTAAGAGCTCTGTCGGCTCTCCGTGTGTTTTTCTACTAAGTTACATGTGTAGAAATAAATATTTGTATACTGAAAGACAGGTTAAAGGAACCATTCATTACTGACAAATCAATGCATTCACTTCAGTTCTTTCAGAAATATATTCCGTATTATATATTAAATGTTTTGTGGCATAAAGCCTAAGAATCTAGCTATCGTAGAAGTACTTTCTTCCTTAGTGAAATGTGCTGCGATCTCAAATAGGTTTTTGGCGTATCTTCCTAAATAATCTAGAATAATTCAAATTATTACAGAAAGTTATGGCATTGTAATTTTTTAACTCCTATCATGGAACTGAAGATTAACAAAGATTGTGCAATGAGAGTATAGGCACAGACACGTACGATTTAGTTTAGTTTTCATCTGCACAATGTGTCATAAAGTAGCCGCGCTTACCAGAGTCACCGGCAGGCTCAGATGTGAGTGGTTTTGGAGCTGGCGTATCTGGAGGTCTGGCAGCAACCTGAGAAGGAGGTGAAGGTGCGCTGTCCCCACTGTCCACAGGGGGGCAGCAGTTCTGCACTGGAGTGTTCGCAGGAACAGGATCTATTCCGTTAGCACCCTCGCCAGCCAGCCTTTAAAAGAAGATGCCTCAACTGAGTTCAACGAGCTAAGTACAATTAAATAACTTCATCTGAAATTTCATGAGAGTTAGTTACTGCATTCTTAACATTCAAGCAAAATGACAGGTATAGAGAGTAATGAACAAACATATGGCATGCTTTTATTACATAAAATTTTTAATTTTCAGTTCTAAGTGTATCTATATTGGCAGATAAATCTACACTGGAAAATACAAATATGTTAAGTCAAAATGAATTCAGTCCCTCGAAGTAATGCTCGAAGTCTACGTTTTAAATATTTAAGTCTAAGAGTATTAATCTTCATTTTAAATGCTCTGAAAGCATTTTCGAAATGCTCATGAAACATAAAAATCAATTCCAAACTACTGTAATCTTACTGAATACTGGGGCTCCTCCCTGCGCACCTCACAGCAGATACACTATATCAGTGTCACGAAACATAAAAACATCCTGAAAAGTCCTCAACTGTTTATTACAAATTATTTTGTATGAGGCAGTAAGATTATAATGACTACGAGATTACCAGGAAGGTAACTGTTGTGTTCTGGAGTTAGGAGAATTTGCAGAGCACAAATTAACCAGAAATAAGTTCGGGGTCTTGGCACTTGCTGCGTCGTCTGCCCGCTCCCCCCTCAGAACTCTGCATAAATGGCTCAGATTTGGCCTTTTAATTTTAGCTCGAAGGGCACCTCCTCGGAGCAGGTTTCCGGGCATCTCTAAGGCAGGCTCCCTTCCGGTCTGTCACCCTGTCCCGTTTCAGTGACTTCATAGTCCGTATCACTGTCTCCTATTAGCTAATCGATCTCCTCACGGTTTACTAATGACAACTCCTGGAACAGGGTGGGGCTGTGAGTGCCGGGACTGGTGTCTGGCACCACACCGGCACACAATGAGCAGCTGCAGGACGAATGGGGAGGCCACCCTCCGCTCCCCGGTCACCTACATATTTGCAATAAGATGTGTTGAGGAAGGTTGGCAGGTAAAGTATGCAAATGGCTCCCAGTGATCCCGATCTGTGCGCCCTTCCGCAGCCACCCAGCATGAGGTCCGGGTGAGAGAGCCCATTCGAAGTTCTGCTGGGACTGAAGAACCGATCTGGATGCAACACGTGTTATGTGCAGGAAGTGACATCAGGTGTCAGACTGTAGCCGCCTGCAGCTGTCTCAAATGGACACGCAGCTACACGCTAGTGTGCTCTAACCACCCTAACCGCTCTACCCACTCAGTCCTTAACTGGCTCAGCGTAAATTATAATGTTCAGAAGAGAGGCTCATCCGTCCGAGCGCTCAGAACCGCCGAGGGGCGCCTAGAGAGCACCGACGTCAGGAAATGCCGAGTGATGCAGGTCGCACTGTTGCGGGCCAGCATGAATTTCAGCTGTTCCTTCCACTACATTTGATCTGTTGTATGCGTTTATTCCAGTTTAAGTTATTTCAATCAGAAAGCCCCTATTAATTGTCATCAAAAGTAAATGCAAGGGCGTTTCTGAAATGGCAGGGCGCTTTCTGGGGGAAGACGACAATCTGCAGAGCATCTTCCAGTGATCTCCAGGAAGGTGGCACGTCAGACAGCAACGAGATGCCCATCTGCCCACAGGACCTGACTCTACGTGCTGATAAACCACACCCAAGTCCAGATTTTTAAAAGCCCATTTCCAATAAGGAAGAACTGACACATGCTACAACGTGGATGAACCTTATGCGCGGTGAAAGCAGCCAGTGACAAAAGGTCACATACTGTACGATCACGTTTACGTGAAATGGCCAAAACAGGCAGATCTAGTGAGACAGGAAGGAGATCCGCGGCTGCCAGGAGGTGGGAGGAGAGTCAGGGTTTCGGCTCGAGGGGGATGAGAAGGCTCTGAAATTAGACAGCAGGGACGGCCACGCGGCTCTGTGATTATACTGCAAACCACCCAACTGGACACTTGAAGCAGGTGAAGTTTACGTATGTGTATTATTCTTCGATGGAGCTGTTATTTTTTAAAAGACTACTTTCTCAGGAATTCAACCAAATCACATGTTTGAAATTCTATGGCAAACGCTAAACGAAAGTTAGAATTAAAAACTTCATCTATGGGAAATGTCACATTCCTTTGCCACAGACACTAAAATACGCCATTCTACCTGGTCGCTGTCCTGGCTGGAGACTCTCCATTTTCATGTAAGGCATCGCCATTCTGCTGTATTTCTACTGAACGACAGGAAAGAAAGAAACTAGGTTTTTATACACTTCTCAATTTTTTTCCTTCAAATGTTAAAAGCACACAAGGTCAGCTTACTGGCTGGAGACGAACTGCAGTTCGTGAGACTTTCTGGCTCAATCGCCAATCCATCGAGCACGACGGTTAACTCGCCAGTTTGCACTACGCCATTC